TTAATTTACATGTTCACAAAATATGTGAACAGTAACTGCTCCTAGGATCATTTGCTATTCACAATCCTATAGTCTCACTCAAACCCATCTTTATTCAGTGGAGCATCCTCCCCTCCTCATTTATTTAAAACATTGGGAGGAATTAGGTTATAATAATTATGAAGAAGGAAAATAAGTGTAATCATTTCACAAGAATGGCTTTGTCCAACATGCAACACTATGGAATAGCTGGCTAAGGAAATGTCTCATCAATACATAGTATAAAACAAAGTCGCTTTCGCTGTATGTCCGTATGTATGCTTAGATCTTTAAAACTAAAATTCAAATTCAAATTCAAATTCAAAATTTTTTATTGCATATCATGTGTACAATTGTTGGTGTTACATGAGGTACAGTTTCAACATGAAACCCGGCTAGGGCACAGCAACATATGGAGCAAAATATGATCTAACTAAACTACTATTAATAGTTATTATATTATAACATAAGAAATGTTGTTTTCGTACTATACATTAAAGAAAGAAGATATTTATTTATTTTATTATAATATGTATTTGCATAAATTTCTTAATAATGGTGTTATTGTATGTAGTACATGTATTATTATATTTAATATGATTTTTATTGAGTAGGTAGGTATGCATTGAGTATTAAGTTTTGCTGCTAGCTTGGTCATCAAAAAACTCATTAAGGGTGTAGTAACATTTTTCAATGAGGAACCGTTTTAATTTATTTATAAATACGTTATATTTTTCTGCTTCTTTTATGTATTTCGGTACAGCGTTATATATTTTTATTGACATTACTAGGGTGCCAGATGAATACATATGAAGTCGGGAGCTCGGTAGGTTTAGTCTGGTTTTGTGTCTTAAGTTGTAGTCTGTCTTATTGTCACGTGTACTGTAATATTCTGGGCGGTTTCTGACAAATTTACAAATTTCCAAGATGTAGGTGCATATCAAAGTAAGTATTTTATGATTTCTAAAATGTGGTCTACAGCTGTCGGTTTGTTCTATATTTGTCATTATTCTGATTAACTTTTTTTGCATGGTAAATATGGTCTGTGAGTCTGTACTATTGCCCCATAGTATTATGCCATAGCTTATCCACGCTTGGGCATAAGCATAATATGTAACTACGCAACGGATTTTGATGCTGTTTTTTTTAATAGATAGAGTGATTCTTAAGGAAGGTTTGTATGTATAATACATGCATATTGCACCGTGCGAAGCCGGGGCGGGTCGCTAGTTTCCTATAAAAATAGGTAGCAATCGCTCTCAAGTATATTTACTGACTGGAGTGAGACTATAAGAGTAGTTTCCAACTCATGTTGATCGACTTTGGTGCCATGCCAAGGTGTGCAGCTCCAACTGGAATGGGCTTCGTGTTCTTCTGAGGTAAAGCGAACTGATTTTAAGTTTCAAACTGCAAGGTAATTTAAATGATCCACGGCTGACCTCTCGTGAAAGCTCTAGGATTGCAGTTGAAAATGTTTTAGAGTATAAATATTTTTTATGAATAAATCTTTAAATATTGTGACAGCGTGCCCAGATTAGTGCCTACTACTAGTATAATTAGCGAGGATGACGCTAAATAACACAATTACATATTTTTAAAATACTATATCATCATTAGGATTAAAGAATTGTAAACAGTTTATTACCAGTTTTAGATGATGTTTGTGGCCTGTTAGTTTCACCTATGCATTTATCAGCAACTGACGCTTCTTTTCCATCTAGTAAATAAAATAAACTTAATATGAATATAATATGCATAATTTTTATATTTCAATTTAAATAATAATAAGTAGATTACCAGGTATATCAGGTGATTCTGTACGGAATCTGCCTACTGCACTATAGTCGGCTGTAGTTGCGTGGTGATCATCTAATAAATGAAGAAAAGTAAAACAATGAAAAGTACAACTGATGCCTTTTTTTTGAGGGGGAAAATCATCCAATAAATTCTCCCGCCTGGGTGAGGTGAGAGGGAGTGTCAGACTCTTACTGATTAAAAATCACCCCGTTCCTACTCCTGCTCCTCGAGCCAGAGCCCCGACAACCCGTTAGGCCTTCCGCGGCTTCGTATCGGGTATCAGCCCTACTGGGCCCCATCTATGGTAGTCTGATGGCTCTTTGAGGCGCGCGCGGAATGCGATGCGCCGTACGCACAGGGTCTGGTTCTGGCACAGGGTCTGGTCTGGCGGCGAGCCACCCTTGCTCACCGTCTGCAGACCCGCACTTACGGTGGCGGCTGGGGCGTGAGGACGTTTGTTCCTTCACGCGTCCCGCCTCCTCTTTACTGAAATCTGCTGCATCTTTTCGCCATCGACCCTTACGACAACATATGTATCCCCATCATATAGATGGTTGGCAGGCCACAACTGAGCGCTTCTCACGTAGCTTTTTGCCTCGCACAAGTCGCACAACAAAACTGTGGAATGATATGTCGTCGGCGGTATTACCGAATACCTTTAAACCTTCAAAAAAGAATTTATTTCTTTTTAAAAGGTCGGCAAAGCACTTGTGGCTCCTCTGGTGTTGCGGGTGTCCATAGGGGGCGCTCATCGCTTACCATTAGGTGATCCGTCTGCTCGTTTGTCTTCTATTCTATAAAAAAAGAGTGTAAAACAATCCATGTACTGGGAATATGAATAGGAATTATGATGGAAATAATTAAGTTTAGGAATATCTCACCAATAATGATTATATTGTCGCATGATGATGCAATTTCAGTTTCATTCTCATTGCCGTTTACTTCATCATCATCAAAATATATTGCAGCATCATCATATGGATTCGATAATGGTGCAATTTGAGGTGCAGACAAGGCTAAAATCTGAGCTTCGTGTTCCGTGAGAGTGCTTTTATAAGATCCACCACCAGAGTAATTAATTTGTTTCTATAAAAATGATGAAGAAAAATTAGTAGTAACATTTATGAACACAATCAAACTATTAACATCTAATCTAAACCAACCTTATCGAATGATACTTTCTGTTCTAGAAGTGGATTGGTTTTCTCATAAAACTGAACATGCTAGAAAAGTATTTTAAATAACATAACATAACATCACGCCTTTTATCCCCGAAGGGGTAGGCAGAGGTGCACATTGTGCCATTGTACAATGTAACACCCACTTTTCACTATTTATGTTATGAGTCCCATGTAATAGGGGGTGAGCCTATTGCCATATACCGGGCACATTTCCAGACTCCGTGCTACTACTGAGGTTTTTACAAACCCAGTAATACTTTGCCCGACCTGGGAATCGAACCCGAGACCTCTTGCCCGGCAGTCGCACTTGCGACCACTCGGCCAATGAAGCAGTCTTTTAATATTAAATAAATAAGTAAACATTAAAATATACACCAAATTCAACAAGAAGAAGCAGTCATTACATTTGCTTTGGCAATATTCTTCCGAAGCCTTTGTTTGAGATTTTCATAAAGATGAGTTGCTGCCGTGTTCTAATGCCACTCACTGCTACAGCATTATATTGCTGGCACACAGCATCCCAAGCATCTTTCTTTTTTTGTATCATATGAGCGCTGGTCGTTTTATTTTCAATAATATCATTATATCTGCAAATATAGCAAAAAGCTATTAGCAATAGATCAGAATACAGTTCCATTATGTAATTTATTAAAATTCATTGTATACTTACTTCTTGATCAGCTCTAAAAGAATATCTTTTTCGGCGGCCGTGTAATTGAACCCACGTTTCTTTTTTTCTGTCATAGTTATCTAATAGGTATAATAAAATTTTACTAACGCGTTGGAAAAATTATATTATCTAATTGAATTTCGCGCTTTGATATGTTAATGTCAATAATGTCAATTGACTTAACGTTTCGCTACACGACAATCTAGTCGAATAATATTTTGCATTTACATAATAATATTATAATTATGTGTAGGTATTTAAAAATATTTCAGTTATGATATACATCAATAAAATATGAATAAGACTTCGAATTCATTAAATTTTAGTACATAAATAATTATCGGATTTAGTTAATTAATCAAATCACCCTGCGTGAAACGAATACGTAAATAAAAAAAATGTTTTGTAATCGAGAACATGCTCATTGTACAGAATGTTGCCATAGAGCAAACATTTAACGGCTGCTTACCTAAGTATACCTTAATACAAATTGATGGACGGTTCAGTATACCATTTATATTTGAGGCGTGCTTAAATTTGAGTTGCGATTAACTGAGGGCTATATTTAACAAAGATTTCAGTATTCGGGCATTTGACTGCCAATAAAAAACTGATGAAGGTAAATCCCCCGCTAACGCCGGTCATCGGTGACCCCCATGGCGTTTAATGTGTTAAAAATGTTTTCACTTATATTATCTTATGAAGCAGAAATCAAGAATGTAGAACCACTCTCAGTGAATTTTAAAGTTTAGCAAATTTTGATTTATTTGACCACAATCTATTTGGATATTGCTCAGAAGGTAAGGGGAATCAAAACAACGTAATAATTGACCTTTTACTAATAAGTATTTATGCATATATTATTTTTATCATTCTTTTTGTGAGTGGGGACAATCATCCAATGACTTCTCCCGGGTGAGTGAGGCGAGGACGAGTGAGGCAGGACGGAGTGACAGACTCTTACTGACTAAAAATTACCCTGTTCCTACTTTCACTTCGAGCCAGAGCCCGACAACACGTTAAATTCGTCCATCTGTGGGGGTCTGAAGGATTTTGCGCGGAACGCGACGTGGCGCGCCGCACGCTCGGGTCTGGTTCTGATCGAGTGGCGAGCTACCCTTGCTCGCCATCCGCAGGACCTGCCAGTCGTCCAGGCAATAGTTTTAAGTGACGACTAGTAAAAAAAATATTTACGTAATAGTTGTGCTAAAGTGCAGCAGTAGGTCTAAGGTATATTGGCTGGTGACCAATGCTGATAATCAATGTCAACTATCTTCTCTGAGTTGACTGTCGACACGATAATCAGAGAAAGGTAATAAAAGAAATCAAAAGTAAAATAGCCTTTTATTTCCCGAGTATGCAAATTGGTGAAAAAATAAATTTGAAAATATTTCTAAGAGCTATCTAAAATCTCTGATGTCGAATATCTCCTCAAAAGAAACCATCTTGCCACCTTGGTCTTTTGTTCTAATTCCAGCCGAATTGCTTATCCGTCGACATTGTCCTTTCAGCAGATGTTTGGTCTTTTGTCACTTTCACCACCATTTTTTCTATCTCATCTAGCACGCCTACCAATAACGAATGGGAACTTATGCACGCAGCTATAAAGACACCCATTATGTTCATTCCAACCACTAAGTAAACTGGCAAGACCGCTGAAAATTTTACACAGAGTATAAAATTTTCAGCGGTCTTGCACATGAACTAAATAACTCATGTTACTGTATTGCATGTGCTGTATTTTACAGTAGATTAGAATACACTTATCACCAATCCCACACATCTACAGATGATGACAATGATTTAACGATTAATAAAACAAGAACTCTTCTAGCTTCGCGTCTGCAGACAGGACGTTGGCAGCCAGTGTGAAGGGACCGTCTGGAAGTAAAAGAAAATGATCATTTAATATCATATTAATATTTCACTCCTTTCTAATAACACTTCAAAACAAAGTTCGCTGGGGAAATATTATTATACGCCTGAATATTGAAAGGATACCCAATTTTTTTTTTTAACGTTGCCCCACACTAGGATTTTCTCCTGTATGGTGGGTGCGTTTACAAACATATAAGTTCACATACACATGATATCCAGACCCGAAACAACAATTCACACAAAGAGTTGTTCCGTGCGGGAATCGAACCCGCAACACGTTGCGCGGCAGTCAGTTGCCCAACCACCCCGCCAACCGTGCAGTCATTAACATTTTTATTTTCTTATTATTTTATTTTATATTAATTTTTATATTTTTTCTATTGACATGTATTCCATTGTTGTATCTATATACTTATTAAAAATATATATACATTTATGTTTGTCTTTGTCTAGCCATAAAACATTGCTACCATCCGTGCTTCACTGCAGGGGTGCCTACTGAAAATCAGTGCTGGGTGACTAGTATGCCTGGCTTACACTGAGTGGGTGACCCTTTTACCATATGCATGTTGTCAGCGTCTTGTTTTAATTTTTTAATTTAATGTTTTTCTTACTTCCTTATATATTTTACTAGCTTATACCCGCGGCTTCGCTCCCGTCACAAACGGATAAAAAGCCAATGTGACATATACCAATACACACAGCGCCATCTATACCAATACTTTTGTTTTCCCTCGGGAACATCAAATTTTTCCGGGATAAAAAGTACCCTATTATTTAGTCCGAACTTCTAACTATATATCTTCAAAAATTCAAAGCAATCGGGTTTAGTAGTTATGGCGTGAAAGCGGAACAAACAAACAAACTCACTTTCCGATTTATAGAGGTAATATTAGTAAGGATTTATGCTGCATCGTGCTTGGTGCTGAATAAATGTTCTTTCTTTCTTCCTTTCAATTAAGTCGTACTTAAAGATGGTGCTATCTTTGTCATTTTACAAAGAATTTGTAGGGGATAGAACTATACTAAAGCGGGACATATAGAGGTAATTGAGTAGCCTTTCAGTATTCGGGCGATACAGAAGCTCTTTAATGAGACGTATTATTCAACATTTGATAAAAAAATAAGAAGAACTAACCTAGCTAACGTTGAGACACAATTGCTTTGTAGACTAGCTTCTGCCAGCAGCTTCGCCCGCGTTCCCGTGGCATATGTGTTATTTCAGACCAAAATCTATCTTTCTTCCAAATTTCAACTCAGTCCTTTTAACCGTTTTGACGTAAGAGAGTAACAATCACACACACACACATACATCCTCATAAACTTTCGCATTTATAATATTAGTAGGATAGTAGGAAGTAGGTTTAATTAAAAAAAATTAGTACCTTTTGTTGGCATGGAACTTTACAAATAAATAATATGATTCCAACAGTTGTTTACTTTCCTACTTACCTACTCTAAACCATTTGTTTCTGGGGTATCCCGTGTTTTCCCTCGATGACACAATGGCTTCTCTCAAAGCGAAAGCTACGCTAATGGACAGGCACGTGGGGGGCTCCGCTACCGCTGCAATGTGTCATTACAGTTCAATACAATAAGTCTCCAGTAAGTCATGGTGTATATCTGTATTGTTAAAGCATTATGAACCTTACCCCTTGCACCCAAAGTCCCGATGGGGTTGTAAGAGTTCCTCCTAAGCTGTATTCTGAAGTCGATTGGTATATCCTTGGTGAGAGGTACCTTGTAGTACCAGCTGCGGTCTGTGAGCAGCTCTCCAGTCTTCTCATCATAGATCAGCTCCTCGTGGGTCCAGTAGCCGACTCCCATCATGAAGGCTCCTTCGATCTAAGAAAGCAATTTATCTTATTTTATCAAGCGTAAGCTTCCTACTGAAATAATACAAACAATAAAAATGTTACCTGGCCAATATCTAATTCTGGGTTTATGCTGGTACCGACATCTTCAATAATATCAACTCTTAGTATTTCATGCTCTCCGGTCAGTATGTCAAGTTCTACTTCTGTTAGTGCCACTCCACCTGACCTGTATGGTACCTGATCATTAGCAGTGACTCGGTAGCTGGTTTGAAGGTTTATTCCTCTATTGAAGGCAACTTCAATTAAAACTTCCCAAGTAGGCTCATTCAAAGTATCTCGTACAGCTGACAACCGATCCAGAAGTATCTGGCAGCATTTTATAGCACCAAAACATACAGACTGAGTTGTTCTGCTACTTCCAGTAGCGAAGTTATTGGGATTAGTTGCTGCTGTAGGTGCTTTACATCTGACTTTTTCAATTGGAATTTTCAGAGTATAAGCTACTGCTTGGATAACTTTAGTGTTAATACCTTGTCCAATTTCTATACCTCCGTGGTGTATCACCACAGTTGCATCTGCATGATAGACGGAGAGCAAAACATGGTAATCCAAAAGTATAGGAACTGGCCAATTCATGAAGGCTACTCTCAGTCCACGTTTCTTCCACCTGTTTACTTTGTTATAATTCTGAACTTCTTCTTTACGTTTGTTGTATTCACCATCTCTGAGTAGCGTCTGTACCATTTCTTGCACTTCGACGTACGCTGGTTCGATATTGTTCAATCTTACCTGAACGGGGTCTCGTTCTATTTCGTATGATATCCTTTCCATTATTTGCTCTGTCATTGATATTGTTTCTAAGGAACCTGAAATATTTGAAAAAATGTGTTATAATTATAACATATAGAGGAGAACCTGATGCTAAGTCAATTTAGTGAGATGAAGCTAGTAGTACCTGGTGATCTAAGATATGTGTTGGAAGCTGTGTCTGTTAAGACGGTGAATATCTTATACTGCCATCGTCTATTATCGTAGCAGTTTCTGATTGGAGCAAGCTGCAGTGGGCTGACGGGGTCACTGACAACATACCCATTGTCGCTGTACAAGTGGTACTCCAAGTATTGAATCTCTCCAGAAGAACTAATGCCAACCTGCCAAAGGTACTTAGGTTTGTTAACATCAAGCTTTGTCAGTCACGGTCGATTTGATGGACAAAGATTTTATACTTTAACCCAATCCATTGATCTCAAATAATATTATTAGACCTTAAATTAGGGTAGCTCTCATGTATATTTATTTGGTTGTGTGTCTATCGAATTTTTTCCATAATTATTGACCATTATATTATAAATATGGTGTCCTTATCTATTGGTATAAATAAAAATGAATTCCCATTCGATAGTCTCGCTAAAACTCAGGAACAGCTGAACCGATTTGAAAAATTTTCATCTTGAAAATTATATGTTCGTGGATCTCCAAGAGAAGGTTTAAAAGATACCGTTTTTGCTGGGTCAGTTAGTATTAATTAAAATAAATTTTCATTCAAAATACAACTTAAGGTAAATACCCCAATCATGGACACTTTAAGAAAAAAAAATTGGTTTTTCAGAAAATTCACTTATACCCGTGAAAGTTTTAACACAAAACGTAGTGGAAATTGGAAGTCCTATATTTATTCTATGTTTCTGCTTTATTTAATGTGCAGCACTTTAATTGGTTTTAATATTATTAACAAATAAAAACTAAGATTTTTTTAACCAGTTATGGACAGCAAAAATCTATTTATGGACACCCAGTAATAAACAAGAACCAAAAATGGACAACCAGTTATGGACAGGAACCACATATGGACATCTAGTAATGAACATGAATCATGAGAAGACTATGTTAAATTAACTGTGGAATAGTAAATTTGGAATATAAAATGAGACTAACTTTTATTTGATCAGCTTTTAATGTAACTGTAGTCGTAACAACATTCATATTATGTACTTAGAAATCCCGAAAATGGACAATGAGATCAGCATTAAACAACTTAAACATTATTGCTATACCTAAATAATCACTTTGAAAAGTTCAAAAACTACTCTTAATCAGCCTTTCATGTACTAATATTAATTGGTTTACTATATGCTATACATATTTATATCTTTCATATTGTATTTATCAGTCATTTACTTAAGAACTAAAAGTTACTTTGGAAATAAAATATATTTTCAAAATCAACATAAATTATCTTCTCCTTCACAAACTAAAAAAAAAACAAAATAATTAACATCTTTAAAGAAATTTTACAATTAAGAAGTAAAAACAGAGTATTTTTTCATTTCCTTAACAGCATAAAAACCTCTTTTGTTAATCAAACTTGGCGGACAAATCTGCTCCACGATATCTTTTTTTTGGTACCACATCTTATCAGGTTTATCTGGCCATTTATAGGTGTTTCCTGTTGAAAAGGTCATCGTGCTTACTTCGAACTCATTTTTATTTGAATTTTCAATAACTCCAGGAAAATGTTGTCCTTCATATAAAACTATCACGTAATTTCCCTTTGATAGTTTTTTCTGGGACGAAAAAATTGTACCTAATGGTGCGTCGTTCGATTCCGATCCTTCAGTCAAGACACTGTCGTCACTTTCAGCGTAAATGACTTCATCCTCAGTTTCAGATGATTCAACTCTGATTTTTCGTTTATTTGAAACTTTTTTCTTCTCATTAAGTTTCTTCATTTTATTTTCTTCTCGTTTTTTGGCTCGCAATGCCTTCTCTTCTATTTCTTTTCTTTTCTCTTCTTCCTTCTTGGTATTGTATGCTTTCCATGCAGGGCTTGTAATCGAAAATGGAATTTTCTCTTTTAATTTGCGTTTCTTATTTTTTGTGATTTCATCCGTTTCTGGCCAAAATAAGCTTCGTTTGAAAGGCGATGGTATAACATAATTTGAAGTGCTAGGGCTATTAATCTTCATAGGTGTTTTGGCACTACGTTTTTGCAAAGATTTGTCAATGACTTCTAAATTTCTCTGTTTTGCATTTGGCTCATTTGAGGTATTGAGCGTTGAAGTGCTTGATTCAAAATTGTTCGTCTTCTGAGACAAGACCGCAATCGCTTCGTTTTTATTTGGTGAAGAATTATTAGTGGTTGCCAAGTCTTGCTGGCCTGCATTTGAAGTATCAAGATCCGAAATTTCTTTAGATATACAAGTGTTTTGTAGAGAAGTGCCTGGTTCAGAATCGTTATTATTATGAGATAAGACAGCAATAGATTCGATTTCTCTTGATAATGTATCATCAATGACTGGTAAGTCTTCATGGCCTGCATTTGAGGTATCAATATCTGATGGTTTTTTGGCTAAGCAAATATTTTGTGAGGAAGCACTTGGTTCAGAATCGTTTGTGTCGTGAGATAAGATACCAATTGAATCATTTTCTTTTGGAGATCCGTTTTTATTTTGATCATCATTTTCTGATACGAGATTTAATGTTTCAACGGAGTTAGTGGGTGCTAATACTTCATTACTTACATCATGATCGAGAATTTGCTTAGTACTGGCCCAAATCAAGTACAGAGATTCATCTTCATTTGGCAGAAGATTTTCCAGCTCGAGGCGACTTTTGTAATAAAGATCCTTGAAAAGCTTCAGTTTGGCACAAGACAAAGTAGTTTCAATCTTGTTCTCTAATGTTCTCAAAAATTCTCTCTGGCGAGTAGAATCAACATTTTGCCTGTTTTGAGATTTAATTTTACTCATGTCTACAAATTCTGGACCAAATGGGTACAATCCTCCAGCTCGAAATCCATTTTTGATTGTCTCAACAGTAAGTTTTTCGATTGCTGTCTGCAAAACTGGAGCAAAGTGATGTTTTTTAAGAACTTGTCCTAAATTTTGCGTTTTCCAGTTCTTAACCCCTTCTCGCCATGACGACTTCAAAGGCCTGAAAACAGCCAAATCCATAGGTTGTAATATGTGTGTTGAATTTGGATTGAGTGCTATGACCTCAATACCATTTTCAGAGCAGAAATTAGACAGGTGCAAAGTCAAATGTGACCTGTGTCCATCCAAAAAAAATAAAATTGGCTTTTCAATATTTTTCTTAATCAGCCAAGGATTAAACACATTTGTCATATATTCGAAGAATGTGCCTGAGCACATCCACCCGCTTTCCGAACGACCAATAGCCCAGTCATCAGGAAAAGTGTCTGAAATTGATGACGGTATCCTTGCATAACTAAAAACAACCATGGTAGGTGCGAGCTCTCCTGCTGCATTGCCAGTGACCAGAACTGTTAAATTTTCTTTATCATCGCCTGAAGAAGCATATACATTTTTATCGCCCTTTTTAGCAAGGACACGTCCTAATTTTGGATTCAAAAAAAACGCGCTCTCGTCGGTATTGAAAATCCTCTGAGGATTTTTTAGTATTCCAAAAAGTCCTCTTTCTTTCAAATCAGATTCAACTTCCGAAAACCACTTCTCAACGTCATTTTGAGTAACATTATCCCTTGCCGTGCATAAATTTTGAGCAGTACGTTCGGCAATCGTAGGGTGTCGTTTCATAAACGAGGAATACCATTTCTTGCCTGGTCTATTATTAGTAAAAGGAGTCTCCTGGTTTTTGTCGACTATAACACGTTGAACACTATCTAATAATTCCTCTTTGGTTATTGGAATATGTTTATTTGCCATATCTTTTATCCAATCTTCTAGAATGTTTTCTTCTTCCTTCGACAAAATGGTACTGGGTCCCATTGGACACTCTATGGGACTTATTCCTGTGATTTTGTTGCGTAATGTTATTCTAGGCACGTTAAATTTTTTGGCTGCTTCAGATATTTTTGCGCCTTTTCTAACAGCTTCAATAGCCCAGCCCATTTGTTGAGGTGTATAATTTTTTTTAGGCGCCATTTCTAAAATAAAAGAAAATTTCTGTATTATTTTGCTTCAATGTCCATAACTGGATTTCTATATAATACCCAATAATGGACACAGGCGTCCATTACTGGTAGGCATCAATATTTTTGCAATTCTCAACTAGCTTTAAATAAAGAAATTAAAAAGGAGTAAAATTAATTCAAAATCCCAACAAACAATAAAAAAAACAAGTTTGGACATTTGTCCATTATTGCAACTATTCAACTTCAGTGCACCATTAATAAACATCGACAAAATAATGTGAAACATATCCTCAAGCGTAAAAGCACAGTAAGTACGTCTTCATCTCGATTTCATGGTCAATCCAACCAACAAAATAGATTTTGATTCAAATAAAGCAATAATAAATTAACAAGTAAACTTTATACCTACCTCACTAACCATTTACGTAACAAAAGCCTCAAATTATATTTTCTAACACCAAGCACCAATTCACCTCACGCCATTTTTTTGTTTTATAACGAAAGTGAATGAAACGTCAAACTTTGGCAGCTCGACGACTTTTGTTTATGGTAAAGTGTTGCCAATATAATAAAATTGATTCCCGCCCTTATTCTAGCCGTTTTTGTTTTTTTTCGTCCATTATTGGTTCCTTGTCCATCACTGGTGCGTTTACCTTACTTCAAAATCCCTAGTGCAAGGTAATCGTTTGCCAGTGACTCTAAAGTCAGATTGCATGCTCATCACGAAGCGGCACGGGCGATGCATGAGATGGGTGACCAGGGCGCAAGCAGCACCACTATGGTTTGCGCGTGTTATTTTCATACCATACGCACCACCACATCGAGGGACAGTTACGTTTATTCTGTAATTAACGAATTAAAACGGTAAGTACCCGCAAACTATGATTTCTGTGGATTACATTAGTTCAATTTATTTAAAAGTTTTACCTATTTTGTGGAATATTAAGTACTTCAGAGAGCGCAGTATGATAAGAATCCAAAAACTGCGTACTAGCGTACACGTCAATACCATCTTCGCTAGGTCTGGAGACGCTAGTTTGTGACTCCATATAGTAAGCGCACTGTGCATAGATTTCATCAGTACCTTTGAGTACTCGCTGCACGTTCAAGCCGCGGTCTCTAGCAGGATAAATTAAAAATAAAGACACACGACTCGGTTCTCTCTCTCTAGCGTCCTTTATGGTTAAGATTGGTTTCTTTTTATCAAGTTTATAATTAACTTTAACCAATAAAGCAGCCCTGTAGGCCAGTCTTTCAGTTTCTGCAACGATCACTCCTATCGGTTGGTCGTAGTACTTAATTGTCTTTTCCACAAAAACTTCTTCAGGGAATAACTGACCAGGTACTCTTTGCGACAAGAATGAATTTTTGCCAGGAATATCCTTAGCTGAGAAGAACGCTAATACGCCAGGTATTTTCTGAAAAACATTTTGAGAAATGGTAAATAGGAACATTATCCATTTTAGAATAAAAAATACCAATGTCTTCACTTCATATTCACCAGAGCTGGAGTAGCATCGATGCTCTCAATCTCTCCTGTGCCAATATCTGACGTCACAAAAGCACAAAATACTTCCTTGGGTTGTGTTGGCAAGTCATTACAGTACTGCGCTTCTCCTGCACACTGTACCAATGCATCAACCTTTGGCATCGGTTCGTTGACTGGCCATATAATGGGATTTGTGTCGTAGACTTCAGAGCCTTTAGACAGTGGTCTAGTCTTTCTAAAGTCTCTTGCTCCTGAACGATACCAAGGTTTGAGACGTTGTTTCGGAATAAGTACTAGTAGACTCTAAAAAGTAAAATGTTGCTAATTAATCAGTACAATCAAGTAAACTGGTGTCAACTTAGTTCAGAGACTTACTTTGTAAAACAGGCCGAGCGCACATTTCTTCCTATACGCAGGTTTCATCTCGCCCGCAATTTCCTCGACTATCAGTTCACCTTCTAGTATCTTCAGTGCTTGCTGCAGCACTTCATTCGTGAATATCTTCTTCATGTGAAGGAACTTCTCGGTTTCAGTAGCATGAACAAACTTCCCCGACAGTCCACCAATTACAATTCTGGCTGATAGGACGACATCTTTTTGGTGCTCATCGAATTCATATAGAAAAGCTGCGTTCACTTGAGCATGCGCGTTTTGGGCACGAGGCATGATCTAGAATTATGTTCATTTTTAACTTCTGGATATAATTAAGTCTTGTGAAATGAAATATGTTTACAATGGCGTTCACCTACCTTAAAAGACACAAACTGGTATCTATGAGAACGCGGCGGTATCTTAACATGAGCTATCACTCGTCCTGTCATATCTATTGATAGAAATTGTTCTGGAGTTACTTCCATTATTGGTCCTTTCCCCACTAAAATGTAAATACCACTCAGTAAAAGAAAAGAAAAATATAAAAAACTGCATCCTTTAATTTTTCGATGCTCACCTATAACTAAAGTAGCTCCAATAGTTTCCAATAATAAGAAAATATCTGAAGAGAAAGCGTTTAGACGATATTTAGTCATAAGATTTCCCGCCACAGTACCAATCTGGAAACGAAAGGGTGACCACTCAACGTTCAAAATAATTATTTTTTTGTTACACTGACCACGATACCATACTTACATTTCTCACAGGAATGTGGGCGACCAAATCTAAATGTTCATAAAGTTTGAACAGATACTGAAATTCCTCGTGAGCTTTCGAGACCTTCTTGAACAGTTTCATCAGGTCCGTCAGAGTTATACCAGCGCCGACGACCAGGTTCTGATCTAAATAATACCCTTTCAGTTCCTTTATTGGCTGTATGTCTATTAATACTCTCGGGTGCACCAGAACTGGAACAGCACCTGTAGAAAAAAGTTGGTATTCACTATTTTTCGATAGTGTAATATATTTTCTATGTGAATACTCTACCTCGACCAGTATTTCCGTTGACCAGCATGTAAGACTCGTAGCCCTCAGCATCCAGCACAGTAAATATATCGGCAATCTCATTTACTCTGTACCACACGTGACCGTCTTTCAGATTGATTTTCTTGATCCGAGGAGGATCAACATCGCTCTGACTGACCATACACCAATTCTTATCTTTGTGACATCCCTTACAGTCACCCTTTCCTTGGCAAATCTTTAGATCTTCAATGTCTTCAATTTTCGGAGGAGGTTTGGGAGCGTCCTTGGCGAAGCTTTTGAAGGCGTCGAGTATAGGTCTGCTGCCGGTACACCTACAAGTGTTGCTTCCGAAGGAGTTCTCAATCTCATATTGAGTTAAGTCGTAATGATTTGCTTCTAGCAGACTGAAGAAGAAGATATCATTATCTTAATATCCGTTTCAAGTGATGATTATTATGAAACCAAATATGGCTAGATGCAGCGAGGAGCGCTCACCTATACATGCTCATGACGAACCCAGCGCTGCAGTACCCGCACTGGGTGCCATTGTACTCAGCCAGGGTCTTCTGCACGGGATGGTACCCTCGCGCTCGGTTGCCGATCCCCTCTATTGTAGTGATCTCCCAGTCTTGACATGATGTTATTGAGACCAGGCACTACAAACACATTCATATGACAAATTGTACATCATAATTGTGATGGGGCTTTGAAAATTCTCGTTCTTGGTTCTGTATGTAAACGTCTGGAGAAGTAACCGATTGTGGTTGGTACTCACCGAGTTGACAGAGAATGTCCTGCGGTGGGGATCGTTGACGGTGACTGCAACGACGCATGCGCCGCAGCCGCCCTCCTTGCACATGTACTTGGTACCGCGCAGGTTCAGATGGTTGCGGATGTAGTCATTCAGAGAGGTGTCCGAGTCCACCTCAGAACCCACTGAACTCAATAAAAATTAATTTAAAAAATCAATATTCAAATTGCTTATTATCTCAAGAATACTTGTTTAACATTGAGGCAGTCCCAATTTTAATTTTCATTTTTTTTATAATATTATTAAAACGCTCAGAAGGATGGTGATCTTAATTAAAACTCAGACTTGTTCATTAATAATTTGTATTCACTTGTTTTATTGTTTTACAAAAATTAATCTGTTGCTGTCAAAAACAAAACCGCGCGAATACCCGACAGGGATAGTGTTGCCACGTTCGAAAACCAAATCAATCCATAATATTACTATTCGGTATTTTAGTGTTTGAAATACTTAGACAATATTATTAGTCACAAATATAAATAAAGTGAGTGATAAAATATGTGACTGTAACATTATAATATAACATTACTAGCAAACCCGGTGAACTCCGTTTCGCCACCAGATGGCTTCGTTTTATGTCACATTTCGTTTGGTAATTAAAAGATGAAGAAAATTTCTTTTGCTGAATTTTCTTTGCTATATTCATCACGGAGCGAACTTCTTTCCAACGAATACAAAACCGGTTCGTGCGTTCTGGAGTTATACCGTCAGGAAGGAAAACCCGACATATTTTATATAGTAGATAATACGTTGGAAATAATTATCTGTGTACGAGGATTTGTAAAATTTCGTTGACTGAATACATATCTTAAAGTAGATCACCAAACAAGTAAACCAAATTAATTCATTTAGTTTCTGTCTAAAATGGAACAAAAATTGTACTCACCGGAGCATTTTTCTTGATTCACATAAAATGTGATTCTATCCATAACGGTATTATATTCAAACAACAGGTGGTTGTATTTGATATTAATTTAATTTTATGCGATAATAAACTGCTATACCGCGTTTGTGATCATTCGTATCACTGGTTTGCCACGCAATAACTATATCTGACAAGCATATTGCATGTACGTAACAATGTAAAACTGCATAATTGAAATTAATGTAAAAATTATGTGTATTTAACACACTCTGTTAATTTGTACATAACATGCTTGTAACATAATTGCTTTAAGTGCAACTAAGAAAAATAATTATGTTATCCTACTTTGAATGCGTTTTGTATCGACCAGATTGCGACTTGGCTAATTATACACTTCGATCAACAATATTATACCTTATCCAAGTTCATATTCAACATTGTCATTGATCAGAATTCAGCTTTCTGCTGAAAAACGGTGTTATAATTATTATCATCTTTAAAAATAACTGAAACGTCAACTTGACTAAAGCTGCCGATTGTCTTTTGTTTTATTTTGTGTGATCAGGGCATCGGCAGACACAGTCGCGCCTGTTCTTTGTTCTATGTTTCTATGTTTACTAATAGATACTTAAATTTATAGGCAAGAAATAAAAATATATATACCTACAATTTATAAGAGATTGTATGGGCAGCAAATTATCTACAACTATCAAACTTTTGAGTGTAAAGATGCTTCTTTTGATTGTTTTTTAAAGGTTTTTAGTTTCAGCTTGCACAATTTGGGTGAGGATCTCTAAAAACTTGAGATTGCAGCAATAACCACCAGATTGAACTATCCGGTGATTAAATTCTTTAAGCTCATTCACCCAAATTACCTACTAATGCAGTTTTAGTTAAAACAATTTGCGTTAGCGCCGATTACGTTTTTTCTATTTGTAGAAATCTATTCGGATATGCCCGGTTGCGTTCGTGTTGCATGCTGTTTTATCTGTCGGATGTGACATCGTGTCCTATTACCATGTCCATGCTTCGGCACGAATGGGCCAGCTCGACCGGAGTGATACCACGGCCTCACAGACAACCGACGTGAAGCAACGCTTGCGTTGTGTTTCGTGGTAGTGAGATTACCGGACGCCCAATTACTCCCCTCCCCAGTCTCACCAATCCCCGAATCCTCCACAATCCTCAAATTCCCAATTCCCAAAAGACCGGTAACGCACTAGTAACGCCTTGGTCTTTTAGGTGTCCATGGGCGGCGCCGATTGCTTACCATCAGGTGATCCGTCTGCTCGTTAAACCCCATTGAGTGGCCGTCACCATCTAACAACGCAACCAGCTCGTATAGTACAACGCTGGGTCACCACTAATTACTATAGCGCTTTATGGGATGCCACTCACTCAGCCGCCTAAGGTAGCGCGACTGGTAGCGTTGCCATCTCATCAACGCTTTTTAGAGGTGCCCTAGTGAAATATCCAAAGGGATTTATACAGGAAATATATTGCTTGTTATCCTAATACTAACACGGAATCGGTAAAGTGTCGAACAGTTTTGTTGTAAGTGTCTGAGACGCAATCAACCCTATATCTCCCGAAACGCCAAATTCCTAATCCTCAAATCCCTAAGCCCCCAAAAGACGAGCAAAGCACCTGTACGTATATACTTAAGCTATATCTATATACATACTTAGGTACCTATTTACTATATTCACCTCTCTTTGCTAACAAGAGAGCCTGACGTAAGCAGCCCTGATTGCTTAAAGCTGTTTGAAAGAGGTACGACGTCACCACTGAAATCTCACTCGGATCTCGAACTTCGCTGATGTTTCGTGTGTCTATAGGCGATGCCGATTGCTTACCATCAGGTGACCCGCTGCTTTTCTATCGGCTTATCCGATAAAAATATTGTTTATCCAGAGATACTATCAAATATTTGATTGTCAATATTCAGTAGGTGCCTTTAGTTGTTTTAATTCTGTCTAACTATCATGCCATGTCTACCTCTAATTGCACATATTATTGTTATTTGCATAATAATATGGGGAAACTTAGTAATTACCATTAATATCTACCAGTCTATAATGCTCGTTAGTCACTGGCAGAATATGGTAAGAAGTAAATATAACAAAGTAATGCAATAAATGGCATTATTATCGTTTTGTGGTTATCCTGTTAACCAATTATAGCTGGGCCACAAAGTTGGTTTACAAACGTCCGACCTGCCACGTCCTATGAAACGTGACAATGCTGCACAACTCGAATAAGTGTGAGCGAGAGATTTGATAAGAATGACTTATGACAGTTCGCATGTTTACAACAGATTTTGAAAATTAAATTAAGTAACGAAAATTTAATATTATCTTTATATATAATTCTGCTGTACGTGTGCATGTCATTGAACTCCTCCTAAACGGCTTTACCGATTTCAATGAATTTTTCTGTATGCGTTTGAGTGGCGCCCTGGATGGTTTAGATTCACAAATCAACCCGGCAGATGGCGCTGCAGTCGATGTCTAGGTTATTTAAAACTTAATATCTTGAAATATCGTAATAATATGCAGGACAACTTCTGTCGGGTCCGCTAGTATCTAGGTATATAAAAAAATAAAAATAACCACGAAAATATACAATTCTTATGAAACGTTTATTGTGAGTTTTTGGTTTCGTTTGGTTTTTTGGTTTCTGCCAATCCGTTCTATTTACTGGTAGGTATATCAAGTTGGCACGATATATTGAGATCCTGAGGCGCAGTGATCATTTTTCTATTTTGCAGCAGCAGCACCAGAAGTAGCTGACAAGTAGTAACTTCTCACTACTAGATAGAAATAAATACACATACCTGAAAAAAAAAGATCATTTTCATCATCATTTTAGACCTTGAATTATTATTAGTAATTCGATGACTGTCCAAGTGTCCATTATCTCAAGAATAGAGGTAGGTATTGGTAATATAACTCATTCCCATAAAAAGAGTGAAGATAATTGAGATCTCTTCCACGCTCCGTTTTGAAGGCACACTCAGTCGGGTTGAGTTATATGGGGCCCCCAGCCCCCGGGCCCGGATAAAGAGGAACAGAAAAATAAATGGAAGATCTCAAAATAGCAAACCACTTTAAAGTTGGAAGTTTTAAGAAATAACATTATGTATTTTATCGGCATCTCTATAAAAAACACACACACGCAGCGACTGGCTTTGCAGATCCCACCTCAGAGTGCATGGAGAAGCGCGGTCTCTCCAATGCTCCGTCTCGAAGGCGCACTCTGGTTGTGAAAGCGACAGACTCCTAAAACCCGAACCCCATTCAGGAGGGTCTGGCAAGGGCAGCTTCTACCCCCCTTCAAAAATAGGAGAGTCCAAAAATGAAATAAAATGTTCAAGTTAGAATTTTTAAAAATAACCTTTTTCTCCCTTTTTTTGTTGACGGGGGGAAAACTTCAAAAGGCGCCTGGCTTTTTTGGGGGAAAAAAGAATAGGGAGTGTGGGAATTTTACCTCACTAAAACCTCCCCGGTAGCCACCATCCGCACCTAAAGTAGGCACCGGGTCCTCTTAGTAGACCAACCCCGGATCCCCCACGGTGCAACGCCTGTTATGGCACCTCCGGAGACCTATATAGAAAGCACAAGACAAAGCGTTGTAAAAAGATAAAGGAAACTCACCTATACTTAATATATCCCACATCAGAAAACCGAAATCAGCGTGTCCTGTGAGAATTCCTCCTATGAACAGGAAGATGATCACCACAATGTAGATCAGAGTATAGAGCAGGTATAGGCTCACGTAGTGGGATATATTCTAAAACGGAAAGAATTAATGTATTATCCAATTTCATCATCATTACATAGTATAAACCAAAGTCGCTATCCGCCGTCTGTCTGTCAAATACAAAAGTGCTGCTTGTTCGGTCTCTTGTACTTCCTGTGATTGATTATGCTGATGTTTGTTACTCTGACCTATCCCAAGACCTTCTTAACAAATTGGATCGAATGCTCAACAATTGTATTCGCTTCATCTTCGGACTTCGTAAATACGACCATGTCTCTTCCTTTCGCGCTCAGCTTAAATGGCTTCCTATCCGTGAGAGGCGATCCCTTAGATCCCTCTGCATGCTCTTCTCTATTCTAAATGATCCTTGTGCTCCCGAATACCTAAAATCTGGCTTTCAAATTTTGGGCAGCTCTCACAGCCGAAATCTCCGTTCAGCTGAAAGTTTGCTTCTAGAGATCCCGTCTCACCACACTTCCTTCGTTTCTAACTCCTTCAGAGTTAGTGTAATTAAATTATAGAATGCACTACCCCATAGTATAAAAATGGCTCCAAACAAAATGGCTTTTAAACGCCTATTTAAAGGCGCTACAACGCTGAGTTCGTGTCTTCGTCAATTTATATTATATTATAATTATATATATGAAGTTATTTATGTATGCACATATTTTGTGTTTATTATATATTTTTCAGTGGCGTGCAGTCCATATAGGCGAAAAGGCATTGCCTACCTATAAATATCGTGAATATATAACATACATATAATGTACAAACGCGTTTATTAAAATTCAATAATATAATAAAAGTTTGTAAAAAAACGGCTAACATAAATACGCGCCTTTGTAAAGTAATGAATGCGCCCCGCACGCACCACGCATGCGCCACTATTCCTTAAATCTTGGTTGGCAGTAGTGACGTCACAAAAGAAATGTACCAAAAGTATGCACCGCGCATGCGTGAAGTTCACGACCATAGTCACGGTACAGAATAACCATTCATAATTATATTACGCGATTCCTGTTGATTGACAAAATGTTTGCAACTAAAAAATTAGAGGACCGTTCGTTCATCACTTGGAAAACGATCGTATTTTATTAAGAATTCTAAATACAATAAAACAACAACAAGTTATTGTATTTTTAAAAACAATTAAATCATAAAAGGATTTAAATTGATAAAATTTGTATGTATATCGTAAAGTACTGATGAATGGAGTACACCAGCGCCATCTATTGAATTTTTTGTTGAAACTTCTGAACTCGTTCGATATAATGCGAATGTATTTTTATAAATGCGTATTTAACAAATATTTTTCAAGTGTTTTAATTAAAGTTTAACATTTTTACGCGTTGTCGGTTTATAGAAATTTTAAACGAGGAGTTGACTTTATTATTATAAAAGTTAAAAGGAAGTTATTGATACGTCAAGATGGCGCCATTTACAACGTTTCAAATTATATGAATGAATGTTTTTTAGTATGAAATATTGGTTTAAGACGATGATGCAATTTCATTTGACTTACTAAATTAACGTTTGTTTTTTTGAAATTAAACGCTGCGTTACCTTAATTTTTAAGCTACATTTTTTTTATAATAAACACTCAATTGACTATTGGTAATGACTTCAATTCATTTCCAATGTTTTCGGCCATATTGTTTTCATGTGATGTGCGATCGCTTTGTTTATGTTTTCGTTTAAATTATTAGGAATTAGTTTTAAACATAAAGTTGCATAAATGTGTAGTAGTAGTTAAATATATGTGTAGGTTTTTCAAATAGTGTATTTGTTTCTCAGTTTCTAGTACAAGTACCTATATTATTCGATTGTGAAGTGTGTGTGAATAATAGGTAATTTTATGTGTTTGTTGAAAGTAAAAACAGTAAGATTTCGCAATGTCCTTTATCGGACTAGATTCAGGTAATGACCATAGGCAGAGGTGTACTCGAGTTACGAGAATTGACCCAAGTAAAAGGTAGGTAATGTAAATATGTACTATAATGGATCTTTTATTTGATTTTCTTGTTTATTGTTTGATAATTCTTAAAAATATCAACTTAGACTTCGGGTTGTACTGATTCACATATTAATTTATTATTAATATTTATGTAATGTAGTAATAACAAATGTACCGCATAGACTCGGCCGGCTCGGCCACAGCCGGCCGCGCTTGTTATTGTTTTGTTTGTTGACATAATGTAGGTACCTACGCTCTTAAATTCGTAATATATTATGATTTTGACCAGATTGATTAACCTTAACAATTCCATAATGAAATTTGGTTCATCAAATTTATGCTTCATTATTAAAATAAATAATAGATCTTTCATTATTTGTAAGTTTTGTTGGCTTATTCAATAGCTGATGAAGTACTTCACAAAAAATACGCGAGATGTCAGTGTATGTAATTTGGCGAAACAATACACCACAATATTCTTGAACGCACTTTTCAAAATATATTATGTACATGTACCTATCTTGTGTGAGCATGATTGTATGACCGGCGGGGGGGGGGGGGTTTAATCATACGATATTTAGTTGCCTACCCTGTCTCGAAAACCTGTGCACGCCACTGATATTTTTATACAGTATGTTATACAGTATTTATTATTACTATTAGTTATTTATTTTGTTTTTTTTTGCATATTACACAGGCCTATTTTCGCTGAGCTTACATTTAACCCAAAGGTTGACTGGGAGAAAATGCACTAGGCATTAAGTCCGCCTTATGTACCTTATTTTGTGTGCATTAAAGTGTAAAAAAAAAACAACGGATTTTGATGCGGTTTTTTTAATAGATTTTTTTTTTAGGGGGGAAAATCTGCTCCTGCCTGGGTGAGGAGGGAGTGTCAGACTCTTACTGACTAAAAACCACCCCGTTCCTTCTCCTGCACTTCGAGCCGGAGCCCCGGTAACCCGTTAGGTTCTCCGAGACTCCGAATCGGCATCAGCCCTGTTGGACCCCATCCGTGGTGGTCTGATGGCTCTTTGAGGCGTAGGCAGAACGCGACGCGCCGTACGCTCGGGGTTTTTAATAGATAGAGTGATTCTTAAGGAAGGTTTATATGTATAATACATACTGCACCCGTCTGAAACCGGGGCAGGTCGCATAGTTAATTATATTTGTATAATGTGTACATCACTATGTGTTTGGCACATGGATCGATGTCGTGGTGGCCCGGAGGTTTAAGACACCCGCTTTTCATGCATGAGGGTGCGGGTTCTACCAACCTACCTACCTACCAAAATCTACCAACGGCAAGTACCAATTTGACTTTTTCCGAGTTATATGTACTTTCTAAGATTATTCAGATACCACTGACAAACGGTGAAGGAAAACATCGTTAGCAAACCTGGGCTTATAATTTCTAATTATAAATTTATAATCGCCAACCCGCATTGAGCAAGCGTGGTGATTAATGCTCAAACCTCCTCAGTGTGAGAAGAGGCTTTGCTCAGCAGTGGGCATTTATAGGCTGTTGATGAGATGAGCAGTTGCCAGTTGCTAGTAGATGTTGCTCCATGTACAAAGCGCCTTAACCGGCGAAAAATGTTTACATTACAACCTTACCCGATGTAGTCCAAGCAAGCAAATTACAGCAATCGGTATATACATGATGCTGGTCACAATCACGACTATGATAACTGTCTTCGTATATGTATCAAATTCTCCCTCCTTCTTCGATATTATTGCGGTCCAATCAGCCAGTAACCAGGACAGTAAAAATATTTGAATGGTGACCAAATTGGAAAACTAAAATGTAAATAAAATAGACATTTATCTAGTTATATGTATAAGATCATGTAGTTTACACTTAAAAATACAATTTCTTTGAACAAAAGGTCTAATTTGACTCTGAATCTGCACGGCAGCTTAGCAACCGGCTGCCGCGCAACGTGTCACAGTTTTATTCCCGCTCTTGATTCTTTGTGTGATCCACAGATTGTTTTACCGGGTCTGGGTGTGATGTGTATGTGAACCTGTATGTTTGTTAACGAACCCACGATACAGGAGAAAAATCCGAGGTGTTGGGAAACGTCTTTTAAAAAAAATCTAAGGGTTTTGGTGTACGTACTTCATCGACTTTCTTTTTGGTCATTGAGACATCGACGTCTTAAAATGATCAAACTAAATATACAGCAGGTTTATCTCATTTGTTAAAGTAAGTAATACGTATTCGTAAAAAGACTTACCAAGTGGAAATACGCGATAAGAACGGACCCTGTTTTTAGGTTCACGCAATAACAACATTTGGTGAATTGAAGAGCCATTTTGAGTCTGTAAAGTGATTCATTATAAATAACTGAGGCTTCACCTGTATCCAATGTTCCCGCGGTCTGCATCGGGTTCAGGAAATCATTACCTTTGCTAAACGTCATGTTTATTTATAACATACATAACATAAAATCACGCCTTTTATCCCCGAAGGAGTAGGCAGAGGTGCACATTATACTACTGTACAATGTAACACCCACTTTTCACTATTTATGTTATGAGTCCCATGTACCTATTACTTATTTATTGGGTGAGCCTATTGCCATATATCGGGCACAATTCCAGACTCCGTGCTACTACTGAGAATATTTAAAAACCCAGTAATACTTTGCCCGACCCGGAAATCGAACCCGAGACCCTTTGCCCGGCAGTCGCACTTACGACCACTCGGCCAACGAGGCAGTCAATTTATTTTTAAAAAGTTTAAGTTTATTTATAATTAAATTACAACACACAATTAAGTTATAAGAAAATTAAAATATTTACAACTGAAAATCAAAGATATAATATTTTAAATAAAAAAAAAAAATGGAAACAAGCTAACTCAGCATCGAAAAAATTATCCTCATCGTAGTCGTAAACTTTGCTAAACTACATAATATAATTCAGACGACAACATGTCGCGACACACCTCTCCATCAGTGGCTGCTGTTCTCCCTCCATGATTATAAAAATATATTTATTAAAATGTTCAAATGTTTACAATAAATATATTTATTTACATTCTTCTCAAAACTCAGAAAACTGATGTCTCAATGACAGCAACAAATCAGTGAGCGACAGTAGTTTTTTTTAAATACTCTCCGTATGTCACAATATTCTGACCTGTGTTATTAAGAGATGTATTTTATAAGCAAGTAGGTTCAATGCTTCTGTTTGAAAGAGGTTTCGTGAAATTATCAGGCTGGAGTATTTCAGGGTATGACACTGGTATGATCATAATTTGATAATCAAATTATTTATGTCATATTCCATTATCCATCTTGGTTTAGTTTAGAAAAAATATTCTTTCATTGAGCATATTAAGGCTATTAGTATTAGTGAGGAAATCAAAAGTATCTTCTATGCACTGACGCGAATTTCGAAAGCTACCTGGGGTTTCTCTTTTCTTACGCTCAGGATCATATACAGAGCAACCTTCCTGGGATGCTGCTGGATGGTGTGCTACGGGACACCTGTCTGGGTTGATAGGGCCACAATAGGCGCGGTACGGTGAAATCTTCTCCAAGGCCAGCGTCTAGCCTTCATTTTCCTGTGTCAGGCTTTTAAGACGGTTAGCACTGAGGTGTGCTCGCGGGCGTACTTCCGCTCGAAGGTGCAGCAACGTGCTGCTATGAACTATAATGCGAGACCAAATTGTCCGCAAGCTTTCTAGCATAACGCGAGCGAAACAAAATTAACATATCCCTAGTTTCAGTGTTCCGGTGTTTTCATGGTTGTAACTACTGTAGATCCTGGCTTAAAGGAGTTGTAGCGGTTTAGACTTGTGGTGGGCCTATCCCAAAAAAAATCTATATTCTTTCAATAATACCTAAGGGACTGTCGAGATGAGAGGTCGCGGAACGAGCAAAGTATTGTGGATTTTTTAACGTTTTCGAGAATTCTCAATATCATTTTTATCTGTTGTCTATGAAAGACTAAACCCTTCAAATGGATTCAAATAACCGTTCTCCTACGACCCAGTAAGCTATAGAAAGATATGTGCATTCGGAGTCGCGGAGAACCTAACGGGTTACCGGGACTCCGGCTCGACGTGCAGGAGAAGGAACGGGGTGGTTTTTAGGCAGTAAGAGTCTGACACTCCCTCCCGCCTCACTCAGGCGGGAGCAGTCATTCGATGATTTTCCCCACTTAAAAAAAAGACAGATATGTGCATGATTTGTAATATTGCTTGTCTAAGTTTGACGGCGAATTTGCCGTAGTAGATGAAAAGGTCTGCAGCTAAAAGAGCTATAGTTAGGTTTATCTTCGTGTCGGTAAAACACTTGATCATCATCAACATTCTATAAGTGCCCCCTGCTGAGCAAATCCTCTTCTCACACGGAGAATGTTTGAGCATTAATCAATGAAACACTTAGTTGCTGAAAAGGGCCGACGTCGAAAGTAACACATATGAAAGGATCTGTCGATGAAGTGTCCATAGGTGAAAGACCCTGTTGAGGAAACGGAAATAAATGAATCATTCTGTCGACGAACAGTCCAGCGGCGAATCGGTCGTAGGAGAACAGTTGCTGAAAGGTACAAATGAAATAATAAAAGAAATAATCTTATCAAACATTTATTGTAAGTTTTTATGTTCTCTGTTAACCCGTATTATTAACTTATAACTAAATCAAGTCAGAATAACATATTGAGGTCTTGTTACGCAGTGGTCGACTTTCTATTTTGATGCAGGAGAGGAAGGGGCTCCCATTAACAAGTAGTAACTTCTCACTACCAAATAGAAATAAATGTATAGTACTGAAATCAAAAAGATTAATGTCATCATCATTTTAGACATTGGAATATTATTACTAGGTCAATGGTGTCCATAGTAGTAGATTGTAGTAAATATGTGAGAGGCAAGGAATCACTGACACATGAATTTATGTTGAATGTGTTAGATGTTGGTTGTTCTAAGGAATTCCACTTCATCTGCAGTCATTGCCTAATATAAGATATTCATTAGTGATACTTTGTACAATTTAATTAATGTTAGATGTAAGAAAATGTGTCCTAACGGGACTGACGTGTTCCTGAACAAAAGGTCCCTAAAATAATAGATAATAAAAAAATATTAGTTGATAATTCATTAATTTTCCACCTTCACAACAATAGAGGACGATATTATTTTGACCACCGTTGTAGAATATCCTCATGACGCCCCCTTGTCTGGGGGAAACGAAGGGGTCTGTCGCGTTTTTATTGAAAAAACCCAACCCGGTTTCCTGTCTAACACTTTTTTTCCCCCACACTAGGATTTTCTCCTGTGTCGTGGGTGCGTTTACAAACATACAAGCTAACATACACATCACACCCAGATCAAGAAACAACAATTTGTGGATCACACAAAGTGCTGTTCCGTGCGGGAAAAAAACCGGTTGCCCGGCCACCGCACGGTTCAACCGTGCAGTTAGTATATAAGTAATACTAATTATGAATTGTATTTTTCAGATCGGTAACATAATAGCCATTCAACCTGTGCAAGTCAATTGGGCATGAGGGTACAAGGATCACATAATTCCGCAGCCATTACACACAAAGTGAGCCAGCGACTAACTTTCCAGACCACCTCAGGGTGCACGGAAAAGCGAGGCCTCTTCCTTGTTCGGTCGCACTCTGGTTTTGTTATATGGAGGCGACAGTCCCCTAACATCCGAATCCCGTTCAGAAGGACCTGGAAAGGGCAACCCTTCTACCCTCCTTCAGAAACGGAAGAGCCCAAAATTCAGAAATAGAAGAGCCCATGAATTAAATAAAATAACATCTACTTTATCGACATCTCAAGGTATATAGAAAACACAGGACAATGCATTGTAACAATAAAGGAAACTCACGTATACTTATTATATCCCAGAAAATAAATGCGGGGTCAACATGTCCCGTGAGAACACTTAGCATGACCAAGAAGATAATCACCGCTATGTAGATCAGAGTATAGACGAGGTATATTTTCACGTAGCGTGGTATGTTCTACAACATACAGAATTTATAAAATTACTGATAATTTGTATAAATTGTACCTATTTACGTCTACGGGTATTCATTTCTCTAGGAAATAACTACAATCGACTCTCGTTAATTCAAACCTGCGATCATTCGAAGAGGTTGATAGTTTAGCAACTAAACGTAGCAACGTTAGCTATAACGTTTACGACTGCCAATTTTATGGCAATCTGTAAGTAGCTTTCACAGTCGAGTAGCTTTATAAACTGATAAAATATTTAACGAGTTGCTAGTTGTAGTTCAGTAATTTGATAATGCGGCCTGGAATGTTTTCCGGGGGCTTTAAAAATTGGCAATTTTGTAGATTTTGATGTGTTCTTTCCGATTTCCATTTTGCAACTTTGTATGTGCGCTGTTTGCGCCGCCATCGTGAAAAAATGGCAGCCAAAAATAATCTTTCATACAATATCTCTTTCCTTGTGCATTTTGCGAGAAAAACGTTAATTACAAAAATTTACTACTTAAATTTTTTTACAATTTATGTTTTGACACAATTTGATATAAATGGTTTTGGCGCCAAAGCAGTACAAAGAAAATTTTTATGAGTGTTTTGGAATAAAATAATAATTTCTGCGCTACTTGAAAATAGAGCAAGTGGCGCGTTTTTTAAAGTGTAGTCCTTTATTGGTCTAATGTTCATGTTATTTTGACACACAGTTTAACTCGTCGAGTACCGGTTTTGTAGACACAATTATAGAACAATAGGTTGCGGTCACCGGTGACCGCTTGGTATTTGACAGTTTAAGAATTTGCCATAATCGTCTGCTCTTAATTGTTCCTAATGAACCGCACTTAGGAAATTTCGTCTAGGACACTCATCGATATGTCACAGTCGTTATTTTTAAACGAAATGCTGGTGATCTGCAGAATCGCGTCGCAAATAATCCGGGTGAAATTTTGGTTTGCGACGTGTCTATCGTATCCAAAACTCTTTGGGAAAACATTCCAGGCAACCCCATATTTCCTCCTTAATGATCGAACTATTACAGCAATTGAGAACTGTTAACTTGTGTCTGACTGTGTCCGCAGTACAATTAAACAACTAGTGCCCAGTTGCTGCAATAGTTGCTCAGTGCTCCATGTGCAAAGTGTAAATTACAATCTTACCCTATTTATTCCAAGTATGCCGTAAATGGAAACCACTACGTTCACAATACTTATTATAATCACAATTATGATAACTGCATCACTGAATGAATCGTCATTTTCCTCCTGCTTTGCAATCATTCCTTGACCAGGCGCTAACAAGGTCATTAAATATAGTACGATGTTGCACGAATTAGAAAACTAAAATGCAAATAAAAGACAATCAAACTACATTATGAAGATATTACTCTTAAAAATTATATTTTTTATGAGATTAGAACAAATTATCTGAAGGTAGCATATGTACAATGTACAATGGTGGGAACATCCGCCTGACCAATACTAAGTTAATGTTTGCTTACGTCTGATGAGATCCCCTCTTTAGCCCGGCTCAATGACTTTGAATTCACGAAAGACAATTCCACAGGGTGGTGGGCAGTCCTAGCGTAGCCTAACCTAACAATATCAAACCCACTACTGATAAGGGAATTACACCATACACATAATACATTACAATTACGGGTTGTGCTACTAAGCTGCGACGTTATCCTGTTTCTATTGGTTGAGACATTTATGCTCATATATAACAAGCAATGAAATTTTATGCAAGTCTGTCTCCCACTGTACTTCGACGACTTTCTGTTTGCTCATCAAGACCTCGACGTTATAATAATCAAATTAAATATGCACCGCACTTTATCTTATCTGAAACTTAACATGTATGTTACTTAGGGAGTGTAGAAGAAGACTAAGAAAATATTAAATTCCCACGGCAACAGTAAAAACGGAGATCACCTATTTGCACGTACGAAGTGGCTGGCAAACGCGGGTTCGTTATTCAGGACTTACCAAGTTATAATACAAAATGATCAAAGATCCATTTTTAAGATCCATGCAAAAGCAACATTTGGTCAATATAAGAGCCTTTTTGAATCTGTAAAGAAGATTTTATGTTATTAACTAACGCTCTACTTGCATCCGATGGTCTCCGCGGTCCGCCACGGGTTCAGAACAACGTTACCACCACAAATAACATGTGACAAACCTCTCCATTGGTAGTTGTTGTCGCTCTATGATTTTAAAAATATGGTTATTAAAATGTCGAATAAATATTAAAATGTTAAAATAATTAAATTTGTTTACATTCTTCTCAAAAATCAGAAAACTGATGTCTTAATGACAACAACAGTGACAGTAGCTTTTTTATAAACTCTATGTAAGTCACAATCTGTGATCACGATGGTAACAATATTCTGCGGTGCTAGCCTAATGCCTTCTACCGTGTCTACTTAGATTTATCTAGGTAGGTTTGCAAACTACTTATAATAGTTTTTTTTTTATAAGTTGTATATATTTAATTTAGTAATATTTAGTTTTAATTTTATTTATGTAATAGTTGTTATTTAAGTTTTTTATTGAAATACATGCCTTCACCTTCACCACTTATAATACAATTTTGTCAAAATTCTACTATTACATTTGCAGATTTGTGATTACAATTTAGAAAGTAAATGCCCAATATGGGCTTCCAGTCAATTGGAAACTTTTTTACGTAAGCTTAACCGACCGACGTGGGGAGCAAACATGGGGTAAGAGGAATATGCAAGTGGCAACCTCAGCCTTTTCAGAGGGCTTCATCGCCTAGGGCTTGACCGCGTCCAGTAGTCAGATTGGTTGGTTCATTGCTGCCGGCCAATCAGTGCGCCGAACACGGTCTCATTTCGATTACTTTAAACGTAGAACAAATTCGTACTAATGCCTCAGACACGGTGTCATAACAAATGATGAGTCGACAGGTCCCCGTGGCTAAAATGACATCTTATGAACGTTATAACAGATTAA